AATCAAAGTAACGCAACCATAAGAGAGATGGCCATGGCAGCCAACGACACCCCAGCTCTTGCACCCCCCGAGTTGGGGAAATGCTTCTGGATCTCGCCAGTGCGTGTCGGGGAGATACTCGAGCAGCTCGCGGTGCCACACTCATACCCGCTCGGGCAGCAGCCGGGAACAGGACCGCCCTCGGAGCCGCATAAGAACCAGCCGCTCGCGCAGGTCTCCGTCGCCTGGGGCTCCGGCACTTCGGTGAGGGGAACGACGACGGTGACGCCGTTGCTAATAATGGTAGTCGATTCTGTTGGCGGACACGAAGTAGTGGCACAGTCGCGGCCAGTCTGGCAACAGCCTCCACCGGCGCGAGCGAGACAGGCGTAGAATCCAGTCGGGCAGTACGCGGATGTGACTGGCGGCTCGTCCGAGTCGGTGGATGTTGGTCGGAAAGGAGGCACCGCGGTACCTGTTGTCGTCGTCGTAAGCTCTGGAGCGGTGGTTGGGGACTCCTCAGCGGTTGTGCTCGTCGTGGTTCTTCTCGTGGTCGCTCCACCAACTGTCACAATCACTGTCACATGCACTGTCGTGGTTCTTCCGTCAACGAGTGTCGTTGTCGAGATGGACGTCGTGGTGATCGTTTGGACGACTGTCGTGCCTGCTCCTCCACCACCACCCCCGCCACCGGTACTGCCGCCGCCGCCTCCTCCTCCTCCACCTCCGCCAGTGCCTGTGGCCGTCTGAGTTGGCGAAGCACTCGTTGCCGGGGGAGGACTTGGTACACCTTGGTCTTGTCAGCTTATACCAAGCGTAAAAGTGTGGGTGAGTACTTACAGCCAACGCCTTGACAGACATATCCCGGGATGCAACATCCACCACTCAGCTCCGCATCACAGCTCGTGGTACCGCTGGGACATGCCGCAACGGCTCCACTGCAAGCAGCGCCCTTGGGGCAACAGGCGACGTTCCCAACGTGCTCATCGACTACCTTGACACACACTTCGTTGCTCAGGCAGCACTTGTTCGCCGCTCCGATGTAATCGCAGCTGTTCATAGTTGTCGGGCAAGACTGCCTCTTCTCGAGAATGTGAAGCGCCTCAATGGCGCGCCTGAGGCTCTCCCAGCCTGTGCTAGTAATGCTGTCATGATGTTCCGCAAAAGGTGGTCGGTATGAAAACGAGGAGTTGGACAGAAAGTTGTCGTCGGCCATGCGAGCGGCGAGTAGCTCTTCACGGGGGGAGAGCGGAGTTATGTTTATTGTCCCAAAGACGTCGTTCTCGGTGAAGGCGAGGTCATTGGGCAGGAGCTTCTCCCCAGCGTTCGGTGACATTTTGCGGATGACCGCAGGGTGCTCTGCGTTGATGCATGCTGCAGTGAGCAGCAAGAGCGAGGAAGGGAGACCCAGAAGTGAATTAGAACGCATTGTGCCGAGTTCGAGGCAATGGCTTTGGTATCGATCGCAATGCGTTCTGCAGCTGACGATGATGGTGTTGAGGTTGGGTTAAAGTCGTCGACCGGGCCCCAGGCTCTGTGTGTAAGTGGCGCTGGGTCGCGCCTGTCAGTTTAAAGTAGTTCACTGACGCCGACGATCTTTTGACAACGACGATCACAGATTTGCTGTGGAATGTCAATTTGCACAGGTTCGCTCGGATTGATGTGGAAGATTGAAAAGGGTAAAGAGGGAAAATAAGAAGAGGTCTGGTCGGGCATTTAGTGAGGCGTGGATGGCGCCGCGGAAATCGGTGGCTGGGCAAAGATGCACAATTCACCTTGGGCTGGCAGTCAGTCTCACGCTCCACGGCGGGAGTCCAGATCCCAGCTGCAAGACGATGGAGCTTGCTCGGGCTTCGACACAGGCTGCGACACCTCACCGCCCTCGTATCTGACCGCTGTCAACTTTTGGTCTGTGGCCCGCAGCAAGTACACGTCAAACTCGAGATCTGATCACCCCAGCAAAGTTTTTCTTTTTTCTTGAGTATTGTTCTCCCCTTTCTTCGCTGTCTTGTTATCAGTTTGTTTATCAGTGCTTATTTTCTCGGTCTCCAACGGCTGCGGGCTGGCTATAGCTCTGTGTACGTACCTTACCTGAGCTAGGGATTCTTGAGGAGGCTGGGCCTAGCTGAAAGATGCCAAAAAGACGTCATTCAAGGCCGTTTTACCGACAAGCTTTGGTGGCAGGGGCGGAAGAGACACGGACCTGGACGTTGTCAGGGGTTTGGCTGCTAAGGTTTGCAGGGGTCCGCGGGACGGGAAGTTTGGGGCCACCAGGACACCCCAATACCTGGAGGTGCTTGCGATCGTGAAGACAGCACGACATAAGGTATGCAAGCTCGCATCGAGGTCTCTTTCTACTCTCTATCTTCGCAATGAATGTCTATTATACAGAGAAGAGAAGGCTTGGATTTGGTTCACCGAAATCGCCTTTCCATGTCTTGTTAGGTATTCTAAATGTACTTTAACAGATATTTGTACAATATGTTACATGATCGTGTATGGTGTTACATCTTCCCACAAGAGAGACCACGCTAAAACATGCTTTCGCCTGCATCTGCCTTGTGAGATTCTTTCTGCAGCCTCTCTGTGAGACTGCTAGGCTCTGCAGTGCCTCTCAGGAATGAGTTGCAGAGCAAGGCCGTGGCTACGCTGACGTTCAAGCTGTCCACCGAGCTTGACATCGCCACTCGCGGGATCGTAATCTCGCGGGTGGCTTTCTTCCTGATATCGTACGGGAGGCCTGTGCCTTCGTTGCCAAGAACGAGAATGGATGGCTGCGTTAGAAGAGGCTTCTTCTCCTCAATGCTTTCCGGTGTCCACTGGCGGTTGTCTCTACGCAACCCAGCTGTCGGTGCGACTGCGGCATACGAGATCCATCCTGCGGCTGCGCTCGCGTGAAGAAAAGCTCCCGGATCCTCCACGGAGAACAACTGCATCTCCTCAGAAGCACCTGCCGAAGCCTTCAGTACAGTAGACGTGATCGACGATGATGTTCTCTTCGTAATGGCAACCGCGGAAACGCCGAGGAACCGGGCTGTCCGGAGAATGGCACCGAGGTTGCCGGGGTCCAGAATCTCGGTCAGAAGGAGCACAAGCGGCCGAGCCGTACCGGGCCTGGAAGGAATGAAACCCTCGGTTCCGTTGATCGCGACGTCTTCCTTAGACTGCCGTCCTACGAAGACGGGGTAGCCTTGGGGCTCGCTATGTTCTGCGCCCAGACCTGTGATCGGCAACTGAGGCAGTGGTGATGTCTCCATCACGATGCCGTTGTGTGGTCGACCCTTGCTCATTTTATCGAGCAGTTGTTGGTCATTCTCGTAAAGCTTGGTGATCTTGACCTTCTTCTTTTCCGCCATGGACAAGATCCATCTATCGTCCATGCTTTCCTTCTTGTTGCTCCCTTGGTAAAGGTAGAGATGATAGAGCTTGCGTTGCGAATTCTTCAGTGCTGCCTTGACGACCGAGCGACCGAAGAGGAACTGCGATGCAGCTGTTGTGTACTGAACCAAGCCACGGAATTCTGACGGTTCAGAAGATGCTTCATGGTCCGGCTGTCTTGATCCAAACCGTCGAGGAGGGGCGGCCTCGAGTTCTCTGCGGGCACCCTCCCGCATGGAGTCCATACGCTCTCGCGCAAAACCTGGTCTCGCTCCTGATTGATGGTCACGGCGGCCCGGACGGCGGTCTGAAAACTTTTCATGCTGGCGATCGGGGCGGCGATCCTGGAAACGTTCGCGTTGACGATCTGGACGGCGATCCTGGTATTGGTCGCGCTCGCGGCCGTCTTGACGATCCTGTCGACCAACTTGAAACCAGTCGTTTCCACTATCACGCTGTGTAGTTGGCTTCGAGGACTCCTCCTCTTTTGCGCCATTCCTCTCCAGCAGCTTGCCGACCTTGTCCTTCAACTCACCACGGTTGAGTTGGTAGACCAAGCTCTTCTTGCCGAAGGAGAACTCGGGGTTGTTGAATCGCTTGCTTCGGGATTTCCTTCCTCCTTCTTCTTCCTGCTCTTTTATCCTCTCTTGCATCTTCTGGAAGGCCTTCTTGGGCTTGAAATGGCGCTGTTCGCGGTCTCGCGGGCCATCGCGACGGCTACCAATGGCGCTGGAGAATCGTTCGCTGAAAGCATCGGGCTTGGATTTGGCAGCATCTCTTGATCTGCTGCGGCCTTTAGATTCTGTCAATCGCGGCCTGGATGCAGGCCTGGAGTTGCGGTCGGTGCGATCGTTGCGTGGTTTGTCGGAACGCCAAATGCCACGATGTATCGCAGAGAGCGATCCATTGCGCGCTTGGCCGTAGAGAAATGGGTTACCGGAGAGTTGCACGGCTCTTTGGGTTGCTTCAAATGGGCGTGAAGCGCTCCATCTTGTAAGGAGACTCATTGCATTGTGTACAAGGGATGGGCCCGGATGATGATGATGATGATGTCGATGTTGTTGCTATTTAGCTGCACCTTGTCAAGCAATGTGCGGGTGGATTTGCGCTTCACTGAGACTCGACTCGAGGAACTTTTTTCTGCCATTCCAGAGCTGTCCAGGGTCCGGGCGGTGAGAAGCACTCAAAGAATAGACCGGGGCTTCCATTGGCCATAGAGGGTGATCTGGTGGGCTTATTCCCGGAATCTCCACACCGAAAACAGGTACGTATCCCCTCTCAGCACGCCAATTCCCACTTTGGAACTAAGTTTAAGTAATGGATGCAGTGGTAGCAACGCGGTTTCGAGGTTCGTCGCGTCAACCGTCGAATAATCCCACCTTCAGGCCTTGACAAGCAGCTTCCACAACTTGCGCCACTCCCACCCCCGGCTGTCTGCTTTGAGCAGCAAAAGATGGAAATCGATTGAACTGGCAGCATTAATTTCTTTTTCTTGGTGTTTTCTTTTGTCTTCAGATTCATCAACGCTCCAGAACCAACCCTCGCCGACCTACCAACTCCCGACAGACCCTCATAAATGCGATCAAGTCGCAACTTGTCGCACCATAGACGACCTTCCAACCGGTGCTGACGACGATGTCATAATGTCACTAGCGGGATCCCCGAGTGATGCCCTATTTGGACTGGACAATGCCGACTTTGATCCCTCCCACGAGACCGATCTTCGTGCCGATGAGAACGAGGCTGAGAGAAAGGTTGCGGACGAGGACGAGGTTATGCTTGACGACAGCTTGGCAGACGAAGATACGGAATTTGTGCCGGCAGATGGCGTCTCGATTCAATTAGAGAGTTACAACGCCGCTGCCGAGCCCGCAACTGAGGAGATCGCAAAAACACCGCCCAGAACCGACCTCGGCGTGGATGAACACATTCCTTCCATTGAGGCTGATGATACACACGAAAACGAGACGGCAATCACGAGCGAACGGGTCGATGGCTTTGCAAGTATCAAGCCAGAAGATGGCATAGAGGAGGCGGTATCGAAATTGCGCCCGTGGAACTTCGAGATAATCCTACCGCGCATATCACCGGAGGAACGCGCCCAGTACCTCTCAATAAAGAGCGACGTTGTGGATGAAGTTATTGAAGAGGTACCTGGTGTCGAAGGCGAATTGTGGTATAGAGTGGAGTTCACAGACGGACGACAAGATACTGTAAGTTCCTCTATTTGTAAATATGGCAGCGCTTTTTCTCCCCCCCCCCCCCCCCATCTTAGACTCCCACCTTCGAATGCTCCTTGCCCTTGCCTCCTTCTCTCCTTCTTTCCTTGTTCCCTTCTCCTTCCTACCCCGGCTCATTTGAGGTTGCTCTTGCCTGCGAAGCAATCGTCAAATTCTCATATCTACCTTATAAATATCTCAATCCCTACCCAAGTCTTCTTTCCAAACCTCCTGCATACCTCACTCTTCACATACGACAACTCTCGCCCCGAGAGTCTCGTATTGCGGTCGGCATTAGCAAACGAGTAACCCTTTCCCGCCTCACAACTCCCGTCAGGTTCATATTGCTCTTTCCAATCTTCCCAAAAAATAGTACCTTCTCGACCGCCACTTATCCTCGAAGAGACAATCTACAGCTAACTCAGCCTCTGCGTGTGCATTTCTGAGAACCTAGCTGACTCGCTGAAGATACCTTTCGACGAATTACTCGCGTATGAAAGAGGCCAATTAGCTCTTAAAACATATCAGGGCATCATGGCTCCAGACACCAGCCACTGGCAAGACGAGTGGGAGGATTCAATTGCAGAATCTGATGCCAATCTCGATACTATTGAGCTTGACGAAGATGAAGTTCCCCGTCAATCCAAACGTCTACGAATCTCGACACATCGCCGCACGCGCGAAGACTCCGATTCCGACGAGGACGTTCGTTCCCGCCGTTCCAAACGCCAGCGTACGTCTACAAGACCGAGCACGAGACACAACTCGAAAGTGATCTCAGATGATGGGGTCACGGACGAGGTTCCCGCGCGAGGTCGACAACTCAGAGAGCGGACTCAGAAACAGCTCAGATTGACAAGCATGGCCTTTGCCAGCATGCCCTTAAGTCGGGACAATGATTTGGACGAGTTGTCTCAGGACCACCCTCGCCAACAATCCGACGACGACGATGACTTTCAGATCATCACATCCGATCTCTTGCCAAAGCCCTCCTCGGCCAGGCGCAAGAAGTCACGCCGCCTTAGGGTCAAGGCCAAAACCATCGAGCAACCCAGATCTCGTGGTTCCTCAATTGAGTTTGAGGATCGTCGCCGGTCTGGCAGATCCACGAGGAACAAGGGCAGCATGCTTGATCTTGCATTGATGGATGAGGAATCATTCTACGTTGAAGATACAGCACCCGCCAGCGTTCCCAAGGTCATGAACATCAAGGAAGTCTTCAAGCCAATTGACCATGACGCACCCTTCAATCAATATCACTCCGATATCTGCATCACGTGCAACACTGGTCCTGCCGCCAACAAAGGTCCCCTGATTGGCTGTCAAGGCTGCTCCGTATCTTTTCACAAAAGTTGTATCGGCTACAGATCTGCCAGAGAACATATTGTCACCAAGGTCGGCGTGGACGATTTTGTTCTACAGTGTAAGTTCTGTATTGGCATCTATGCCAAGAAGGACAGGAACAGCCCAAGACATAGCCGGTGTCAAGAATGCAAACGTTCCGGGCGGTCATGTGCGGCGTTTTCGCCCAAGAAAACCCCTAGACAAGAGGAGAAAATTCGTCTTGACAATGGTGGTGAAGACCCTGTCACGGCAGTGGCTCCATCATTGGTCAACAACGCCGAAAACCTCTTATTCCGCTGTATCATGTGCAAGCGTGGATGGCATTTTGAGCATTTGCCATCGTCACAAACGGATTCAGACGTGTCTGACATTCGCCAGCAGCGACTTGCTGAATACTCTGTCGACTGGAAGTGTGTCGACTGCGGCACGGTATCCGACAAGATACAGACCTTAGTTGCCTGGCGGCCCCTGGGTAAAGCCTCACTCGAAGAGGGGAAGACCTATAGCGATTTGAATGAGGATGAGAAAGAGTATCTCATCAAGTGGCAGGACAAGTCGTACTTCCATTGCAGCTGGATGCCTGGTGCATGGCTCTTTCACATTGCCGCGGGTGTGATGCGCAACTCCTTTGCGAAGAAGGATGCGGATCAGAACTTGGCCCTGAAATTTACCGAAGCCGAGGCAATCCCCCAAGATGCCCTCATGGCCGATGTCATCTTCGAGGCCAAGGTGAAAGGAGAAAAAGCAAGGACGCTGGAAGATGAGATGGAGCGTATTGAGAGCGTCGATAAGATCTTCGTGAAATTCCAAGGTCTTGGCTACGACGAAACGGTATGGGATTCGCCGCCAAAGTCAGATGCCGGCGAGGTTTACACAGCATTCAAAGCCGCATACTACGAATACCTCACTGGCAAGTACTTCACCAGCTCCACGAATGCCAAAATGAAAGAGCGCGTCAACAAGTGGAAGGACAAGGAATTTGTCAAGTTGGCCCAGCAGCCCCCTGGTCTGCGCCGCGGCAAGCTTATGGAATACCAAATTGAGGGCGTCAACTGGATGCTATGGAACTATCACAGCGAAAAGAACGCCATTCTTGCCGATGAGATGGGACTGGGCAAAACGGTACAGGTCGTCGGCTTGATCTCGACCCTGGTCCACGGCGACCCAAAGGTATGTTTGTGCTGCTCATGAGGAGGCTGCTGTATATTGTGCTGACACGGGCGTTCGTAGTGTTGGCCTTTCCTTGTTGTCGTTCCGAACTCAACCTGTCCAAATTGGCGTCGCGAAATCAAACAATGGGCTCCAGACCTCCGAGTAGTCACTTACCATGGTGGCAAGCAAGCGCAAGAGTTGGCGTACAAATACGAGCTCTTTCCGCGCGGCTCCCAAGAGATCAAGGCCCACGTTGTTGTCATGTCATATGACTCTGCGCAAGACGATCGCACGAAACATCTCTTCCGTTCAGTTCAATGGGCTGGCCTGGTAGTTGACGAGGGACAGCGATTAAAGAATGACAAGAGTCTCTTGTACACGGCTCTGCGTTCCATGCGGTTCCCCTTCCGACTCCTTCTCACGGGCACGCCGCTGCAGAATAACAAGCGGGAGCTTTTCAACTTGCTTCAATTCATCGACCCAACCCAGAATGCTGCGAAACTCGACGAAGAATTCCAGGAGCTCAATGCGCAGAACCTCCCTGAACTGCACGGTCGGATCAAACAATACTTTCTGCGGAGGACCAAAGCTCAGGTTCTCAAGTTCTTGCCTCCCATGGCTCAAATCATCGTTCCCGTCTCTATGTCGATCCTACAAGAGAAGCTCTGCAAGTCAATCATCGCCAAGAGTCCCGATCTGATCAAGGCAATCTTCGCAGACGACAAGGTCAACAAGAAAGACCGTGGCAGTCTGAACAATATTCTCATGCAGCTACGGAAATGTCTCTGTCATCCGTTCATGTACAGCGAAGCAGTCGAAGAGCGAACAGTTGACCAAGTCCAGCTACACGAGAATCTAGTGTCGGCGTCAGGGAAGCTGATGCTTCTCAACATCATGTTGCCGAAGCTGAAAGAAAGAGGACACAGGGTTCTCATCTTCAGCCAGTTCTTGAACCAATTGGACATCATTGAAGATTTCCTGAACGGTCTCGGCTTCCAATACCGACGACTTGACGGCAGTCTCAGCAGTCGGGAAAAGCAGAAATATATCGATGACTACAACGAACCTAACTCTCCAGTCTTTGCATTCCTTCTCTCCACAAGAGCTGGAGGCGTGGGTATCAATCTCGCAACTGCTGACACTGTCATCATCTTGGATCCTGATTTCAACCCCCATCAAGACATCCAGGCTATTTCGCGTGCTCATCGCATTGGTCAGAAGCATAAGGTGTTGTGCTTTCAACTCATGACCAAGAATTCAGCAGAGGAAAAGATCATGCAAATTGGCCGCAAGAAGATGGCTCTCGACCATGTTCTGATCGAAGCAATGGACGATGTGGGAGAGTCTGAAGACCTAGAGTCGATCTTGAAATTCGGTGCCTCAGCATTGTTCAGCGATGATCAGAGCGAAAAGGACATCGTCCGGTACGATGATGCTAGCGTTGACAAGCTCCTTGACCGGTCGACTATTGAGCAGACAAAGACTGGCGCCGACGATTCCGCTGAGTCGCAATTCTCCTTCGCCCGTGTATGGGCCAATGACAAGGACGGATTCGAAGACCATCTTGCTGAAGAAAACGAGCCCACAGTCAATCCTAACGTATGGGAGGAGATCTTGGCAGAGCGAGAAGCAGAAGCCAAACGCGTGGCCGAGCTAAACAAGGAAGTTCTTGGTCGAGGTGGTCGACGCCGCCAGGTAAACAATCACTGTTCGATTTATCTACATTTCCCAAGTGTGCTAACAGATTCATCTTAGGCAATCAGCTACAAGAATAACGGCGGTACCGGCGTGGTCACTGACCTCCCCATCAACAGCGACAGCTCCGATAATGACGGAGATTTTGTCGGTGGAGATGAGGAGGAGGATCCTGATACTGACATGGAAAATAGGGATGACAGTTCCAAAGGTAAAGCCAGACCTTCAGCTTCTCGTTCAACTAAGAAAATTACGCGTGACGTGAAAAGAAAGCAAATTGACACATCCACGCCACAGAAGAGGCGACAGCGCAAGATATCCAAAACCGACATCGTGCAATACAAAAGGTTCAAAACGGTAACTCCACGCAAACCAAGACAGACACCTCAAAAACGAACCCCCAACGCATCGCGACAGGCCAAGGCGCCCTCCACAAGTGGAAAATCAATCCGGACTGGCCTGGATCAGGTCCAAACCCCATCCACGGAGCAATCCAACGAAACGGACGACCCAATCACGTCTACCCCGTCTACCCACCTCCTCAGCCCAACCTTAACCCCATCTATCACCAGCCCGGAGCCGAGCTCTACCCACAACCCCCTCCCGCACCAGGAAGCCGTCCCGGTCGACCGATGAAGCCTGACATGGCCTGGCTTGACCACTTGACAGCAGCCCGAACGGTTACTGGCGGTGAGTTGCCTCCAACTCAGCAGGCTGCTCATGGGTTCTACCAGCAACAACAGTCTGCTCCTGTCATACGTCAAGCAGCGTCTGGCAACCCTATTGTGCCATCTGCGTCAGGCAAGGCACGTAGACCGTCGTTCGGTTTGTCCCAGATGCACCCTAATGCATCTTCTTGTGCGGATTGCGGCTTTCGGCATTATTCGACCAATTGCCCAGCCCCGACTTCAGAAGTCCAATTACGTCTGGCTCTCGATCACTTGAAGCGTTGGCCATCGACTTCCAGGAACCCTGCCGCAGAACGAAAACTAATAGAGAAGCTACACTTGGTAGCTACGACGAATGATCGTCGAAAGAAATGAACCTTCGATATTTGCTTCAGAAAGCTTATAGCATTACGGGTCTTCAGATAAGGTCACTCAAACGAAGACAGAAATACCCTTTTACTGGATTGGGTCGTCAGTATCGACTGACGTATCAACACTTACAATATTTGGCATGGATGGGACTTCAGATAGAAAAGTATACTAATCTGACGTTTCTCCAAGGCTGTGCCTCCGTAACGAACCTCATGGGATTTGCTCTGTTAGACTTGTTCAACCGTAGAAGGCAGCTGTTTGTCACGTGTTGAGGTACAAACCAGGACTGCAGCTAACCGGGCGATTGCAGCGGATCTTATTTCGGTCGAGCAAACGACGATAGCAACGGACATTTCCCGACTTTCTTAGGCTTTTGTTGTGACTTCTAAACCACTCGCGTCCAAGGCATCAGAATCCCATGTCTGAGCCTTTGGCGCCTTGGTCCGCAACTTTTGGCCGTCCTGCAAGCGGTAGACGACATCAAAGTCGTCTTTGATGGAGTTGAACGGAGCATCGCGACGCGTTGGAACTGAGCTTCTCGGTCGACGGCATCATAAGGTAAACAAGGTAGGAAGTGCTGGCCTCCTTCCCCGTTTGCAGGGTGGTCCGAATCCTCCATAATATCTCCCGTGCCCCAGTCTGGCCCGTTTTCGACTTTTTTTCAAGCAACTCAACATAGACTCTGCTTCGGATTCTTCTTCTTATTCTTCTTCTCGTCCCCCATTCTTTCCTTCCTTCTCTACTTCTTTTCGCTCCTACAGTATGGAATCGAGCCTTGCCTATTCTACTTCCGAAAAATCATACTCGCCACAGGGCTCCCGAGGCTTTACTCGCAATACGACGCCTGAATCCGAGGCTTCATCGGAACTGAACGGTATTCCTAACGCGCAAATTAGCGACAGAAAGATGAAAAGCTCCCGAGTCGTCTTCTTCGATTCCCAAAACCAGCCTCAACCGTTTTATCCTCCCGAATACCCTCAGTCTGGGTCTGTGCAGACATCGATGAGACACGACCTCGCAAACGCTCCCCGCAGTGTCGATGCCCCGAACTGGCGTATGGGTATGGGCATAGGTATGGGAGGCGGTCCAGGCCACAGGCACTACAGCTCGTTCAGCTCGTCGGCCAGCGGCACCGAGTACATGATCATGGGATCACAAGTGCAAGATTGTCAGGCTTCAAGCATGGGAAGAAACACGAACATCGACACTTCGGGCTTCCACGGCTACTGTCTGGATCGTGGAAACGGCAACTATACCAGGTTGATTCCTGCCGACTCGCTTCCACCTTTAATCGGTATACCAGCCGTTCAGAATGGCGCTGAAGGTCTGCTTGTTCTCCCACAGCCTCGAGGCGTGGACCCTCAGAACTTGGCTAGCAGCCCTGTCCAGCCTGTTGCTTTCAGAGTATGTTTGCTTCCTTCTTTTCTTCTCCACCCCTTGTCAGGCACCAAAGTGTTGGCGCTGAACCTTTCAGTCACCTCCGTCTTCACCGGCACCGGTATCTGATGCCCTTCAGGTATGCTCACCTGTTTCTTTGAAGTCATTGTTCTTCATATTATTCTGCATACATGTTGATGGATTTCTTCGTTTACTGACACAAATTTGTGAATTTGTAGCGTAGAATCGACCAGATCATTGCCACCTCCCCCAATTCGCCAAAGAAGCCCAAGATCTACTGTGACAAGTGGGTTCACGAGGGCGTCTGCGCATTCACCCAGCAAGGTTGCAAGTACAAGCATGAGATGCCCCTCGATAAGGCGACACAGCACTCACTCGGTCTTTTCCATGGGTTTCCGGCATGGTGGAAGAAGCAGCAGACTGAAATTCGGCAACAGCAGCAGCCTCAGCAGCCTCAGCAGCCTCAGCAGCTTCAGGGCAGCGGAACCGAGGTCTACTTTGACCTTCGTCAGCAATCTCAGAGTGGCTTGAGTTCGCCCATGATCGGTGACAGGGCTCTTGCTAGCTCGACGAGAGCGACGCCGTCGTGGCGGAGATCCGAGGGTGGCAGGAACCAAGGACAGATGAGCGCAGGATCACTGGCGAGACCCGGTGCAGGACACAGAAACTCGCCTGGTAAGTCTTCCATTGTCATCTCTTCTACGGAGTTGAAGCTCATATCAACAACAGACTCGAGACCTACGTACCAGCAGAATATGGATTCGCCTACCTCATCTTGTGTCTGGGGCCCGATCGGTCCGCCTTCGAAGCAGACGCCCGACCCAAATCCGCATTCCTACCAGAATATGAGTGCCTTCGCCACTTCCAACAACTTCGCTCTGCTGAGCTCTCTTGATGCGAACACGGGTGAGATGGACGATGGCCGCAGATATGAGTCCTACTAGAGCTGACAGCTTGGTATCAACATGTTGGATGGGATATGGCAAGGTTGGAATGATGAGACACGAGGCATGACAGAGTTGTGGGTATTGTCACGTTATCACTTTTATTTTGTTTCCTGGCTTGAAAAAATGTATGTATTATAGAAGACGCTGACCAACAATCGGGGAGTCGCGAGCGAATAACTGATCCGAAAACCGCCTTCTTTTGCGAAGTGTGACCCAAATTCATCATCCACAATGCTTTCATCTGACCATAGCAAACGTTTACAGCCAGGTCAGACTCCAAGTCTCCTTACCAGCGCGGAACGGCACAACCTGGATCCCCTTACCCTCAAACGTCTGCTGAACGACGGCGCCGCCATCGCGGGTGAGGCGGATCCGCTCCTTCCTGGTGTCCTCGGTGCCGTAGAACTTGCGGCCGTAGCCGCTGACGAAGCCCTCGAGGGCCTCCTGGGTGATGTCGGCGTCGGCGAGCTCGCCGCGGACGACGGCCTCGTCGAGGGCGGCGAGGAGGTACTGGACGGCGTAGGGCTGGGTGAAGACGCCGGCGGCGGCCTTGGAGGGGCCCGTCTTTGCGGTGATGGGGTGCGGGGCGGAGTCGGTGCCGAGGAAGAACTTGCCGTTGCTGTTGACTACGGCGTTGAGGAGGGCTTTGCGGTCGGCGGGGAGCTGGTGGGCGTTTGTTAGCTTTTGCTTCTGTTCTTTGGAAGAAAGATGATGAGCGTTTTTGCTGGAAAACTTGCCTTGGCAACGGGCTTGCAGAAGTTGAGCTACAATCACAGATGTCAGTCTTTGGAAGGTCAGGGGTTGAAAGATTTCTCATCTCGTACCGCATCACCGACGACGTCGTCGATGGTAATGAAAAGGTGGTGGCTATCGACTTGGTCAGGACTGTGTTCCTTCTTGAGGTAGGTTTGGGGTACATACCAAGTGATGGTGCCGGCGACGTTGGGGCCACTTGTAACTAGTCAACCAAAAAAAGAATTGCGACTGTTTGACGGCATCGTCACTTACCATGACTTGACGGCTGCAACAGCCTCAGCGGTTGTGCAGTGCTCGAGGACTGTAAAGTCAGTTGGCCAAGTTCTGCTTCGTTAGACAGAGATAGTTGTACTTACTGATTCTGAGCTTGGGGTACTTGGCGTGAAGCGCCTTCAGCGTGGGGAGGAACTGGGACATGAATGTCAGCAGATGGATGCGCATTTTGGCCATTATCTGTGGGGTTATTTACCTTAGACTCGGCGTTGAGCGTAGTGATGTCGCTCCCAGCGTGGGAAGGGCACTCTCCGTGGAGGCAGAGAAGCAGGTCAACCTCCTCCATGGCCTTGAAGACCTCGTGGAAGGCATCGTAGTCGACGACGCCATCGGCGCTGTTCGTGGTGACGCCGGCAGGGTAACTGGCAGCAGCACCTCGAGTCAATCACCAAGCACGTAGCTAATTTACTTTTCGAGGCGCCTCAAAACACACCTCTTGACTGCGGCGACACCGGCCTTCTTGGCCTCTCTGATGGTATCGGGCGTGACGTCCTGGTGAAGGTAGAGAGTCATGAGCAGGTCGACCTCGTCCTTGCCCAGGGCCGCCTTGATGCGCGATGAGTAGTCCAGAGCCCGCTTGACGCTCGTCACCAGGTTGTTTTGCAGGTTAGGCATGATCAGTGCCTTTGCAAATATGTTAGTAGACGGTTCCAGCTGACGACGGGAACTTACGGAGGGCGTACCTGGTTGACCCCTCCGGGGCGAACAGTCGGAGCGACGATCTGAAATCGTTTTAGCATTCATAATATGCCCTTCAGTGGTGGCGTGAGTTCCATGACTGCTGACCGCGTACCTGGAGCATGTCATCGTCACGCAAGTGGACATGGGCGTCAAAGGCCGCGGGCAACTCGACGGTACCAGGGAGAGGCATCTTGAATGGCGAGTGGACTGATGTATTGGGTGTCACGACTTCTATAAACTATCAGACAGAGTCACTCGATAATTTAAGGGCTTTGATTCATACCTTATGATCTCTGTTCGCAGAAATGGTTCAAGATTGGGTTTCCGCCGATGTCGCTGAGTAGTTGATTTCGGTCCTCAATCTCGTCTCGAAATGTTTTTTTTCGTTGGAGTTCATGGTGGGGGCGGGGTAAATGACTAGGTTCCCCAAAGGCTCGAAACCATCTATTAATTGACCTCCTCATTTACCTTTACCTACCTTACTTACGTTGAATGAAACGCATAGCACCGGGCGCTGATTGCGATTGACACTCAGCCTGAGACGTTGGAACCCTTGAAGAGACTTCACGATAATATTCAATCCTACCATCTTACTACCATTTGCTCCAACGCAACCATGAGAATAAAGCACGGCCTCGGAACCGTTGAGTTCAATTTAACCATTTGAAAGGAGTATTTCCATCTAACGTTGAGGCTACATAGGATCATCTGCCTGATCTCTCTCTAATTTGTATCCTTACGCTTACTTCTTGCTGTCTCCTATACCCTATGTTATCTTTTTTGTCGCCCTTGTTGCATTTGGCTGTATGCCATCTCTACGAGGAGGTAATTTGATCCTGTCGCTTCGGCCCTACTCGAGTCTCAGTCGTTTTACTTTCACCAGGCTTGAGTGACCTCCCTGTATGATGATGAATTTTAGTAAAGGGAAGAGTGGTAAGATCCAGAGTTGTATGAAGTCAGGTCATTTGAGGTCTCTTTCATTCTACGGTGATCTACTACCCAGGACCTTGTCGGTATGGAGGGGTAGGTATTCCTGCCCCACTAGCCAGCCAACCCAAGGTACGAGGTACCTTACGGAGTGCATTGCTACAGGCATGATTGGGACTTCACCTTGATTCACCGATGACCAGGCAGGCGCGAGATGTAATCGGTATCGAATCAGCCGAAGATTAAGCGAGGTGCACTTGCCTTCTGGTGCCGTGCACGGACCAGTATCCCCCACAATGGATCAATGGTATCCGTACAGCCTATGCTGGTACCTACTAGGTAGTCTTGAGCTTCATCATCACCAAGAAGCTTCTCAGGATCACGCTGGGTTGCGACTTGGCTTTGTGAACCTCTAACGACCTCTCCATACAAACCACCGTTTCCCATAATAACCCCTCGTCCGACTTGAGAAACTTCATTCCAACACAAGCTTCGCACCCGGGTTTCTGCAACTGTCGCCGCTGCTGTCACAACCAGTTGTTGGAGCTCGAGCTTTCTAGTTTGGCAAGGTGCCCGAATCGTCGGCAAGATGGAAGACACGCTTTTCTACTTCGAGCGCGAGAAGTACAAGACCGACGAAGTCTACGACAAGACCATTAGAAATCACATTCTGAAGATCACTCGTCTATTCAAGGACGATGCGCCGGCCATCATAGCCAAAGCGCCGCAATTGCTCGAGGTCTCTTGGTCCCCCCACCTTTGGCTGTATGTTGCTGCTAACCACCATGCCACAGATCGTCCACCCCACCGACCACTCTATTTCCCACCTCGCGATCCTGAACACTCTGAAGCATCTGGATGAAAGCTCTCTACCCCTTCCGATCGATACCTTCCGAGAACACATCGCCCGGTTCCTGTTGTCGTTCGACGCCCGGCAGATGCGCTATGTTGGTGATGTCTTCTACGACCTGTTGAAGGATGTCGTGGAATGCAAGTTCTTTCAGGTAAGAAACATTCCAAGTTTGATTCACTATCCTGACTAATCGCATGTTCTCTTGGCAGGCGCGTCAATCTGTAGAGATCGTTGTTGCCGCATTGAGGCTACTCGATCCCGAATCAGCCGTACTCACGAGCCTCCACCTCGCTGTGGTGAGGCTAGCTTACGAGACGACGAACTACGACGAAGTGCTGCCGATACTCGAGAAACCATGGGTGTTCCTTCCTGGAATGAAGGACCAGCCTCGTCTAACATACCCTTGCGATTTGACAGCTTCACCTTCCGCCTATATCAGCCCCGCCACACAACTTACCGAATACTTGACTCGCGAGGGTGTCATGGAGCACGAGTACCTCAGTGCCCAAATCTTCACGAAGGAGCTCAAATGGGCGCAGGCTCACAAAGCCTACCAAAGAATCATCACTTGGCCGTCAAGGGAAACCTCTGTGAGCAAGTTGATGACTGACTCCCACAAGCGGTGGCTTCTCACAGGTCTCTTGGCTCTCGGCCATACGCCGGTTCTACCTGGACAAATCAGCTCAAGCGCTCAGAAGGCGTTTGCATCTCTGTCAAAACAATATGCAGATCTCGCGAGCCTATTTTCAACCACCAATGTTGAACAGTTCAAGGGCGCAGCCGAGAAAGGCATTGATACGTGGGCAGCTGATGGAACCACCGAGCTGATCAAGGCGGTTGTGACGGCGTACCAGAAATGGCAGATTCTTGGTCTCGCCGACGTGTATCACAAGATCAGCGTATCGGAGATCCGCCAACAGACACTCAGTGCCGAGACAGCTCGAAACATCGAGACTGACGAGGAGGTGGAGCAACTCCTGCAGGATATGGTCACCATCGGAATGCTTCAGGGCTCATTGGAGGTCAGCCCTGATGGCGTCAAGTGCCTCATCTTCCTCCCGCGTGACACGGAAATCGAATACAGCGAGTACCAGAAGAAGATCACAGACGACGCGCGCATCAAGGCGTTGAACAAGTTTGCCGAGGTTAGCGATGTTCGTCTTGCCGCGTCAAAGGACTACGCCAAGCACATCATTCGTGAGCAGAAGCGCCAAGACAAGGACAGCTCTCAGTCGCACAACACCGAGTTCGGCTTCGACGCATCCATCGAGGACGAAGATCTCATGACGGGTATTCAACATCCTTAGTACCTTTACCGGGTGGGCCATCCTTCGAAGATGATCTTTCGATGTCACTGCAGTTCGCGCCTTTTTTGACGAAGTAACGAAGGCAGGAAGTGAGGGAAGGAGGGTAGTGAGATGATTTCTTGCATGAGAAAAAGAGCGAAACGTAGTGCTGCATGAGATTTGACCTCGGCATACTGGGGGCATCAGGCCGGCGTTACGAGATCAGGTTCACAAGGGATATTGCTTTGATTGCCAAAAGAGGCATTTGCGACACTATCAGCAGAAATGTAAGAGCCCGAGTTCTTGGGACTGACTGTGGTAGATTAGGTAGAGAAAGAAGAAACCGCAAAATAGTATTCTCTTCCGGCATTAGCACGTTTGCCCGAGCATATTGTTCCGTTGACTCTCATGTGTTCGCGGTCGTCTGCCTCATAGCTCATCAGATTTTTGATCGCCCCTTCTAACTACCTTAGGGTTCTTCACGCAGATGCGCGAGCTGCCTTTCCATCATTAAAGTACACATATAACGGTCTCTCTTCCAAGCATTTTTACGAGCTGATACCAAATTGCTTAATGAGATCCGCAAGCTTAGCTCCCTCGGCCTTGTAGTCGATCTGCCCTGCGCTCAAGACCTGGTAGCGTACCCTGAAAAAGGTTAGTGTTTGAAAAATCAGCTGCGGTCAAGGGGTCATCATACCTCTGAGCTTCGCCAAAGGTGTCCATCTTCGCACGACATCGGAAGTTTAACTTGGTGCAATTCGCTTGCTCGAATGCCTGTGCCATCTTCGTTTCATCCTCCTCGCGTAAAGCCATAAGATCGTCTGCCGACATGCCCATGATGACACGACCGACATCATCGAAGCAGCTGAGCCACAGCTGGTTGGTGTGATCGCACACGTTGATGGACATGATGTACCGATATTCGGGCTTCGGGTGGGCAACATCGCACTTCTCGCAACGCCAGGTACCATCACCCATGTCAGTTACCTTCTTGTTGCAGCCCTCGTTGCTACATGCGGGATAAGCAAAGTTCTCCTGCTTGATGTAGACAATGGTAGCCTTGAGGTTGAAGTAGTCTTGGTTCTCCATGCCCAAGTTCTCCTCCTTCACCTGGAGAATGGACTTGTCCTGGTCCTTGCGGCCAGTGGCATTGCCCATGCTGGCCATGTTGTTGTGGCTGCTGAAGGTATCATTGCGACCAGATGAGTCATACCAGCCCTTCAGACGGTGAGCATCAGGAATATCCGGGTCAATGGACATCGTGCCAGAAGAAAGCAGGCTGAGACTGCGACCACCAAAGTCAGACACCTTAGTACCCTTGAAAGCCACGACAGACTCAGGCTTGGCGTCAAAGTTAGTAGCGCTCTTGCCCCAGATGGTGACGCGAACTGAGTAATTCGTGTCGTCGACCAACGTGAGCTCACGCTTCTCGTAAGGCTTGCCAGTCGACTTGGAGACGATTTGGGACACCTCAGCGACCTCCTTCAAAACGCCAATAACGTCAACGGTCGCATCCTTCTCGACTTCCTGAAGCTCTTGAATATTGCAGAAGTTGAACCGCACCTGCGGCACACTACTCTGATCCTCTGCCTTCTCGATCTGGGTATCGCGCTCGAAGGTGAGCTCGTAGTCGTTCGGCAGGTTTGTGAATTGCTTCTTGGCAAGTTGGACTTTGCAAGGGTTGGAGATGTAGTAGACACCTCCCTCCTGAAGCAGATCGTAGTACTGGTCACATTGGTCGTTGAAGCCGGTTGCCTTGATCTCGCCACTCTCGTCAAGCAAGTTGACACTGAACAGCTTGCCCTCGCCACTAGGCTTGTGCCATGTCCGGATGTCTGACTTTTGCGTGACGCGAGCCTTGATGGTCCACTTATGAGCGTAGGGAGAGAGGGCTTCGATAGGGTAGATGTTATTGCTTCCATGCTGGCCGGTGGCACCTCCAGCAGAGCGCGTGGGTATCGATTGAGGCTTTGGTGTGGGCTTGGTCTCCTCTTGCTTGACACCGTAGAAGTTCTGTCCGCCGATGGTCGTGTTTGCTGCTGCAGGAGGCTTCGCTTCAAAGGCTTGAGGCTCGCCGAGCTTGTCTGGTGTGCCGAACTGCTCGACAACCTCGAGGCCGAGGAT